CTACTTATTGACTACTTATCAACAACGCTAGTTACCTTATTTCGGTGATTACGTCAAGGGGATTCAAGCAAACCATCCATTATATTGAATTGAACAATACTGGCGCACCGTGCATAGATAAATAAACATGAATAAATAAATGATTTGGATAAAGCATACGATTTAATAATCTAGAAAGGAGGAAAAGAAATACACTGATCTAAAAAAACTAACTTAGATTAATAATCTTAGCATACGAGGGTTCATGTGCGATTGCCATAATTTTTTTATGAAGTCTTCTAGTTCAAAATTTTCAGATTAAAGATTTTTGCATCATTCCAGCTGACGTTATGCCCAGCATATCTCGTTGCTTAGCGCAACTATGACTAAAAATCGCTCAGATTCATTGGAAATTTCTAAAAAAATTCTATAGTTCTCAAAATGATTGCAATAATTGAACTTACACTTTTAGATGGATGTTTGTTTGCCCGGCCACTTTTGACATTGTTGTGGACTGTGGTGGTTGCGATATTCTTCTAATAAACTAAAAGTAATTTTTGGGACAAGAACACAAATGAACGTAAAACATGAGAAATAAATTGCTCGAAGTTTGCCACTTTTTTGCATCACCGTTTGAAGCCATCTCTGATGATGCTAATGATTTCTTTTCACAATAAAGCCTCACGCATAATTTGCAGAATACTTTTACAATGCTGATCATATTGTCGAAACTAGGCATATACTTCCGGCGACCTGTTTTTCCTTTTACACATTTACAATGATAGAGTCCCGGTAATACTGTTTCCATTGTAGTAATGCAGATTGCAATTACGGGTAAACGAGAATAAAAAGATGCTACTGTTCATGGTGCATGCTTCAAAATTCCTTGAATGCCCCTTCCCACTTTCTCCCATTGTTTTAGCGCACTTTTTATCGCGGTTTCGCTTTTTTTCGCGAATGTCATGGACTTTTTAAACATTGTTCGCGAGCCATCAGTCTTACGTAGTTCATGATTTCGGAAGGAATGAAACAATATGGGAAATTTATCGCATGTTAAAACCGCAGAAATGTCATTTTTGTTTGGAGTGACTCAGGAAATACTATGCTTAGATTCTATTGAATCAACACTGTCTGTAATGATAGCCTTTGGCCAAGATTATAAACTTGATCTTTACTTTTGCGCTGACAGATATAAGTTCTGGACATACTTTTTATAAAAGATAAATCATTTTTCCAAGCGAAATTTCTTATATATATACGTGCAGAATTTATCTGACTTTCTCTCTTTCCTCCTTTCAAAGTGTCTTATGCTTTGAATCTCTTTTTTGAAATTCCTTGAAAAACTGTTAAGTTTACAGGCTTTTCTTGTGCAGATTCACATTTGGTTAGAAAATTCTCAGAAGAAATTTCAGCACACCGAAACTCCATTTATCATCACTGGTTGCCTCTTTCTGGGTGTTGGCTTTGCCATGCTGCTCGTCTGCGGTTTGCTTCAACGTAAAAATGTCATCAAATATGTGCTCGATCTGGACAGGGACCTTTACTTCCTCAACATAAACAAGAGCTATATGTGGAAAGTGATGTTTGAGAATAGATCAACCCTACCATTATCGGAGTAAAAACTATGCCGTGCTAGAAATTTGATTGATAGACCTCCATATTTAGCAGTTTTGTGCCTTTATTGTGATTGAATCGGGTGTTGTTATGTGTTTATAATTTTGTGTTACAATTATATCAAATTACAGCTTTTTTTTAATTTAAATTCACATC